AAAGAAAAATCATTCGCAAGAGGTCGGGATAATGACGAAGAAAAAGAAAACGAGCGGTACAAAAATAACCAAAACGCCACGTTTCATTTTTTTCAAGTACTTTTATTCACTTTATACTCTTACGATTTCAGAAAAAAAAAAAAAAAAAAAAAAAGAATTTAACTCCCTGTTTCACTTGCTTTCTCACGCTGTTGTTCCTGATGTCACAATCGATCCGGTGTATGTTATCACGGTTCCCCTATGCACTCGATCAACCAAATCAGATTGAAAATCAGCACTCGCATCCTTATTCACAGTGACAAGAACTATCAATGAAAATAGCAAAGAAAAGACCAAAATTAACGAACTGCTCCATTTACACAAACTTCTGCGTTTTCTTTCATCTTTCTTTTTTTTTCTTTTCAAACTCTGGTTCACTCTTGCGCGTGCCGGTTACTATGACTAGAGACTTAATAAATTGTTAATTTTGTATACTACTCGTCGATAGTATATAATATTATTATAATAGTTTTATTATAATAGTATTATATTATATATATAATATATATATATATATATTTTTTTTTTGTATTCGTATAAAGAATAAGAAACCATATTGCTTCGGTGGCTCGAGGCTTCGAAATACAAAAACGAGAAGCCTCCTCCGAGAGGCCACGGAATTTGCGAAATACAAAAAGCACAGATCTTGTGTTTCCATCTTTTTTTCATTTTTTAATTCTTTTTCTCTTTAAGTTAAGTACCATTCTTCCCTCGTTTTGAACAGTATTCTACGCAGATAGCCAAGTTCTCCGTCCTCTTCAGAAGAAGAGTTTTGAAATTCTTTCGTGTCGAAACTATCGTAAAAATCGAAGGAAGAAGGCCTTCATTTTGTATTGGCGCGGAGAAAATATCGTTCTTTCTTTTCTTTTTGTCTTATGTTCTTCTTGTTAATTTTGCCTAATTGGTCGCTAGAAGATATGGAGGCGTGTGACATAAGCGCGATTAGTCGAAAAGAGTGATATCAAAAAACCGATTATAAATGTTATCGTTCAAGTATTTCTCATTTATCTTCTTCGTAACACAATATTAGAATAACGTCTTTAGAAACTTCTAAAAGATTTCTTGATAGTCCCTTTAACAGTTTTTTCTTTTTTCTTTTTTTTTTTTTTTTTTTTTTTTTTTGAAATCAGATTATATACTTGTTCTGTTAGGAAAACAATTGTTTGGTTTTCGCGTTCCGGAAGCCAGGCTTCTTCCGCTAGTTTACTCAACCACGTTTTTTTTTTTTTTTTTTTTTTTTTTAGTCGATGACTTTAACAGTAGTTACGACACATTCAAACCAATTTACATTAAATTACGCAAGATTGTAATAAACCATACACACTCTTGCCGATCATCGGAATATTAAATGCAAACAAGAATGCAATAGAATATACAAAAAGAATAAAACAACGTTACACGAAAACAAAAGAATCCGATTAGAAAACAAATGGATATGACAGCGTGGCCGCCGGAATGCGATTGGACCGTAATCCTGCGGTACTGAACAAGTAGATTCACTGTTATCTTCTTAGATACTTATATATTAAATATTAATAATTATAAATTACAATCATCATTAATATTAATATTAAACATTATCATTAATATTATTACTTTAAATGCATACACAGTTTAAACACCTAGTTTCTCCGACAAAAACAGGATAGATAATAGATGAAAATGGAAGGAAAGAAGCAAGAGATGATTACGATTAAAAAAAGAGAGAGAGAGAGAGAGAGAAAGATAGAGAAGGGGAAACGGTAAATGATAATTAAAAGCATGTTCGTACAAATAGAAGTAGAAAGAATAAATCTCGTAAGAAGAAAACGAGGAAAAGAAAAGACGGAAAACAGGAGGGTGACAGAGAGAGTTTGGTCTTGCGGTCCGTAGCTTCGATCCGTGATTCTTTGGGTCCTATTTCAAAGGAACTTCTAGGACGATTGTTTCGTCGAAAATACGTGTCTTTCTCGCACACTAGAAGATTCTTCGGTGCTGAGCTGACGCAATAGAGGGAGGTGTGCGATACTCTGCTTTGGCGAGAATTAGAATCGACTCTTCTCGATCTCGCTTTTCTGACTGGAGAAACAGAGATTACGAACTAAACGATTACACGTTACATTTAAATACCCTTTCTCTTCATACTTCATGCTGGTCCCTCGCGAGCGTGCATTTCGCAGCGAGGCAAAGTACATTTTATCTTGCTCGTCTAATTATCTCGTGATGTCAATCGTTTCTTTTTTTTTTTTTT